TTGATGGAATAGTTGTGGTATTCTAAATGACTGTAAGACATAATTTGTGCATGCTTTGTCTCTAAGGACAAAGAGAACTAGAAAAAAAGTCTTAAACTCTTCCTGGTAGTATTAATATTGTGATTCCAAGGCTGTCATGCCTATAGTGTGGGATAAGACAACTAGCTAATTATGTTGCTGGTAAGAATCAGGATATCTGGTGTGACAGAGATACAAATGTAAGACTGCTGTGTTTCAGCAAAATCTCTGTAGACCTGGATCTGAATTGGAATGATCAATCTGAACTCATGGCATATGTTTACTTTAAAATATTTTTACATATTTTCTAGCTCTGTCCACTGAAAAGGCTTATAAACAATACCCAAACCAGTACAAAGAGTTCCTTTAAGCTTATAGACTGAGATCTTTAAAAATATTGAAATATTTACCAAGTGGAACTGGGGCTCCTTGGAGAAATGCCTGACTCTTTATCTAAGGCAGGAAATGAACAAGATGAGCCTGGAACATCTTGTCATACCAGAAGGTAAGTGGCCTTTGAAGATTTGTCGAGGGACTCAGGAGCCAACCTGATAAGACTTCCACTAGCCAAAGATGGGCAATTTGAACATTAATAAAATTAAACTACAATGGATTGTAGTTTTATATGTGTAATATGTTTAACCATCAAATATTTTGAATCCATGAATTCCTAATGATACTTTAAACATAAAAGTTACAAAAATCTCAGTGATCTTTGCAGGATAATAGGGAAGCAAGTCATGAAAATAAACTAGATAAGCTGGGTGCATTGTCTCAAGCCTGTAATCCCAGTGACTCTGGAGGCTAAGGCAGGAGGATCACTTGAGGCCAGGAGTTGGAGACCAGCCTGGGCAACATGGCAAGATCCCCCCTCATATCTCATAATTTTTTAATTAATAAAAGAAAAGAAGCAAGTAGTTATTTTTATCTTTGTTACAAAAACTGTGGCTCAGAATAACTAAATAGTTGATGAGAAGTACTTCCTCTTAATGGAAGCATTCCATGAATAAATGAAGGAGGAATATCATCATTGTGAAACTCCTAGTAAATGAATGCCTCTAGACATCTAACATGAAGGCACTAATACGCAAAAGAGAAACAGCCAGACTCTATGTACCCACTGATAGAAGTATACACAGCACCATCCAGGAAGAAGTCTTGCCAAACCTGAATCCCTTAAGCCTCTGGATCTAAACAACAGAACCTACAGGCAACAGAAAAATCTCTTAAATTACACTATGTGGAGTTTCTAAATTTCCACTATATATAAATTCTAAAGGACAAATAACATGGTTTCATCACCACCACCAACAAACTGCAAGGAATTTTAAAAAGAGATGGAAGAGAACGCCATGGATTAAAAGAGACATGAGAGACATGATAGTTTGGATTTCAATTTAAATAAGCAATCTATTAAAGAGGAAAAAAGGAAGAGAAGGGACACCAGGATGTGATCAGGGAGAGGGGGAGAAACAAGGGGAAGTGAGAGGACATCATGGTATAGTTGGAGACATTTGAACCCTGGCAGGATGTTTGGTGATACTAAGTAATTATTCTTGCTTTTTGGATTGTGTGATGATAGGAATTGTGATTTCAAAAGAGGAATAATTTGTCTTTTAGAGATGTATGCTGAAATATTTATAAATGAAATGATATGATGCCAGGCACCTGCTTCAAAATAATCCGGAGCGAGTGTGGAAGTGGTGGAGACACGGAGCTGTGGTTTTCAGGCTTGAGCTTGCATCAGAATCACCTGGAGGGCTTATTAAAATACAGATACTGGTCTTCCCTCCAGAGTTTCTGATTCAGTCTTGGGTGGGGCCCAAGAATCTGCCTTTCTAATAAGCTCACAAGTGATGTTAATGCTGTTGGTCTGGGAACCACACTCTGATAGTGACTAGCAGAGAGGAAGCAAGATTGGCCCCGTGTTAATTATTCTTGCATCTGGGTGGTGGGTGCATGAGGGCTCATTATTACATTCTCTCTACTGCTGAATATATTTGAAATTCTCTATAATAAACATTTACAAAACAGGTGATCCAGAAGGGCATACAGAAGGAGCAAAGCCTTTGACAACCCATAGCTGTAATGGGAACTTCTATGCTCATTAGCAAAACAGGTTTGGCTGCTGCTTCCACAGTTTCCTCTGGGTCCAGAAGGTGTGCATCTCCTCCTGCCTAGGTGGAGGTTTGTGTATCAGTTCAGCTGTCCATCCTTTTAGAGAGTTGCCAGACCTGAAGGGAGGGGAGGGGCCACTGTCCAAGGGGTCTGTGCATGCTGCCTCCTTTCCTCACTGTGATCAGTCATTGCAAGAGCAGTGGTGTGGATGAGTCTCAAGGTTTTCTGACCACTTCAGCTGGGAAGGACATTCCTGAACAGAGCTGTGCCAGTCAGCTCTCAGAGATGAGAGGTTATCACCAAACCCACTATGCCCTTGCATCCCCCTGGAAAAACCTCCCTGCAACTCCTAGATCTAGGAGGCATCTCTAATTGGTTTGAGTCTCTCTACTTGCCTCTTTAGATTCCTTTGTGTATTTACCCATTCATTCTTCAAATATTTATTGTGTTAGGCATCTTTCTAGCCCCTGGAATACAGCAGAGAACAGAACAGGCACAAAAATCTCTGCTTTTATGGAGATTTAATTTTAGTTGGGAGGACAAGCAGTGGACCCGTAAAGAAATTAATGGACAGAATAATTTCAGGTAGTGAAAAGTGCCATGAAGAAAGTTAAAATGAAGATGTCGGGATAGTGATTAAGTTTGTGTGTGTATGTATGTGCACACAATTTTTATTTTAGCTGATTGGAGAATACTTTTCCAAAGAAATGTGATCTGAGCTGAGATCTAGATGATAGAAGGAGCAAGCCATGGGAAGACCTGAATATATTCAGAGAGAAGGAATGGCAAGTGCAAAGGGCCTGAGATGGGAATGAGCTTGGGAATTTTTTCCTTTTTTTTTTTTTTGGAACACCAATAAGGCCAATGGGGTTGGAAAATAAGAGTAAAGAAAGGTGAGAATGATATGAGATGAGGTGGGAGAATAATCTGAGTCCAGTGGTTATAGGGCCTTGTAGCCATTGGCCAAAGTACATCTGTATCCCAGACACCTCCAAGACTGCCAGTCAGCCCCTAGCTATAAAAAACACATTCTCTCTAGAGAAACAGGAAACTATTTTAACAGGAGAGTCCCCTGGGCTCTCTAACCTATAGCAAAATGACGATATTGTTTAGATAATTGACTATTAAAAGCCCAATAATTTGGGGGTTTAAAACCCACTAATTTTAGTTCAGAGTTACTGGAAAGTTCCTTTGCCCCACAAATCGTCTGCTCTTGATGCCTAGAATTCCACCCTAAAAACGCTATTTACCCAACTTAAGACTCTCTTGTTAAAATACAGGTTCCTCTGGGAGGGATAATACTATGAGTTATCAGTCATTTAATGCTAATATAGATGAGTTGACAGCTGTCCTTGAAAAGCTATTTTAAAAGAAGAAAGCATAAAGTTAGTGGGTGCTTGGGTAGCAGGAAGGAATCTGCAGGGCAGAATGAAATTAGAAAAGGAAAATGGAGGATACATCAGAAAAAAAAAAGCTGCCTATTTTACAACTTTGAGTAGGGCTTTGCTTCCTGGATAACGTCCTCTGGCCAGGACAGATCATAGCCACGTGTATCTTTTATAGCTCTTTCCTAAACACAAAGTGTGAAATAATTCATAGAGTCCCTTATGTAAACAGAGCAATGATTAGAATGTGTTGCTTCTACTTTGCTGTTGTTTCATTTTTTTTTATTGCATTTTAGGTTTTGGGGTACATGTGAAGAACATGCAAGATTGTTGCATAGGTACACACATGGCAGTGTGATTTGCTGCCTTCCTCCCCTTCACCTATATCTGGCATTTCTTTTCTTGATGAGCTCTGGGCACAGGTGGACTTTGTCTCTGTGGATGATCTGTCACTGATAGGGCATGACATTTTCATGAGTGTGAAACAGTGATGTACTGGAACAGCCTGTGTGAACAGATTACACACATGTCTTCCCAACTTTGCATTCATTTTGACTTCACACTGACTGCTTGAAATCAGCCATGATGAGCATATTTACAACATAGAAATTGACAAATGCTAGAAATCGAAATGTTTCTTTTCAGAGAGCTGATTGTTAAACACTTACAGTATGCTGTGAAATGTAAAAGGTAAATTTTAGGATATGCCACAGCATATGAAAAAAAATTCATTTCTTTGTTTTGCCTCTTGAACAGATGCCAATGGTATTCAAAATCATATTCACCTTTGTATATACTTTACATTTTAGCTGTATCTCTACAGTTAGATACCTCATTTGCCTTTTCAAAAGCTGCCTAGTACTTCATGTTGGCCAGGTTTTGCATCATCTGACTCTGGCTGCCTTGTATACTTCAGGCCCCAGCCAGATTTAACCCTTGGCATGTTTTGGTTCCAAATGCCTTATTCTTTCCTTTGGACATTTCTAGTCTGCTTTTCCCTAGCTGAAGGGCTCCCCTCACTTCTTCTCTGTCTGCCAGTGTCTTTCCCATATGCCAAGGTCAGAGCAGAAATCTTCTCCCGCTCCTTGATGCTCACCTGCCATCCTAACATGGGATTCATCATTCAGTATCCATTGCTCTTTCTCCAGTGCTCCCATTGGACACTTCCTATACTTCTTCAGCCATCACCATCCCTGCCTTGGGAAGTGTTGGTCTCCATGTCTTATCTCCTCCCCTGGATTTTAAGCCCATTGATGATAGTGACATTTGCTTTTTTGTCATTTTATCCTTGAGAGTATCAGATGCAGAGCTTTGCATAGTCATTACTCGATACTGGTTGGATTATATGCATATACGACTTAATATTTCCTGCAGTGTCCTGCACAGCAAAATAAATGCCACATGAACAAATACACAAAGACACACACACACACACACACACACACACACACACACAATTTCATCAGTCTAAATATCTGCATTTGTGGCCTGATTACCTTTAGCACTGAAAATGCCTTATTGGAGGGGAACATTGGACTCAAGTGTAGACCAATGAGGACAAATGAGAAAGATTCTACTCTCAATCTGAAAAGTCACCTTTCTCATCTGCATGTAAAATTGGGAGGCTTTTTTCCAGTCATATGTTGGAAAAGAACCAATCTGTTATAAATCAGGATGTTCCAATGGCCACTGAAGATCCAGCTGAATTCTTAAGGATAGATGCTGCTACAATGTTATTGAGTTCTACTGGGACTTGTATAACTCATTATAAAAAATAATTGGAGATTTTTCCTTTGGTCACTCCTGTGAAAGAAGGCTATTCCTGTTTGATTTATTTATTTATTAAACAAATATCATCTTCTTGTGCCAGCAGGCTGTGAAAAGCTCAAGATATAAAGGTAAATTATCTGTGGCCTTGCCCTTCAGGAATTTATAATCAAGAAAAGAGACTGAGTGAGCAAAGGGATGTGTTTAAAGTCTCAGGTGAAGTTAAGCCCTGAGGATCTGACAAGCTCTGAGCCACATCAGTGAGTTTGCCCATGAGACCCTGCCATCTGTCCCCCTGTGAAACATTTGCAGTAACTCCTTTCCATGAACTGCTTTTGGTTTGAATGACCTTGGAGACAGCCTGAAATCCTGAGCTTGGAAGGGAGCTTTTAGCATTACTGGTCTGCACTTACATGTTTCAAATAGAATTTCCACAAACCCCTATTTATCTCCTCTAACCATGCTCCCTAAATGACAGACGACCAGCTCTTCAGTCACTCCAAGAACGGATTTTTATTCAGCCCATGCCCGGGATGCATTAGGATGCCCAAAACATGTGTGGCTGCTCCGAGTGGCACAGAGCAATTAACAGGAGCCAAGCAATTTGCAAAATGCCTCAACTTCCTGCTCATCTCAAAGGCAGAAAATTGTCAAACCTTAACCTCAGGAGGCTCATCCGCAGAATTACGCCTCCCCCACCTCAACGAACAAACTCTGGTGTCAGATTCCCCCCCACCACCCTCCTGCTTTTTGCAAACATAAGCACTCGGCTACAACAACAGCTATGACTCAGTTCCTAGCTAACGCTGCCTGAATTGATTTAGTCTGAGTTCAGATTTAGCACATAATCATGTTCAATTTGCTCCACTGCACTGCCTAGAGATAAAAGGCTTGGAGAAAAAAAAAATAGCTTCAGCTTGTGTCAGTCTTTGTGGTGATGTCATTGCCATGAGCGAGCCGGGCCGTTCGTTACTCTGCTGTGCTGCCTCAGACGCGGAGGTCTGCGTGCAGTGGGAGCGGGCTCCAGGAGCCCGAGCCTCCAGCCGTCCCCAGAGCAAGGCAGCACCGGGGCCTGGCCACAGCAATATCCATCTGGAGGCTCTTCCCTTCACTCTCAACTCTGAGGTTGCCTAACTCTTTATTAAAAATTCAGAAGGGGGAATGCCAGCCCCTAGCATGGACTGTGATGTTTCCACTCTGGTTGCCTGTGTGGTGGATGTCGAGGTCTTTACCAATCAGGAGGTTAAGGTATGCACCTGCAATTTTATTTTTCATTGTTGCTGTTACTAAAGCTGCTTGGCAGAACCTTTTTAGCATAAGAAAATAAGACTTTGGTGAATAGTTTTCAGCTCAGTCTGCTCTAGAAATGCATGTGGTGAGTGCATGGCTACATTAAGTAGAATAAGTTGGAAGAGGGACCAGTATATTATTTTAAAATGTGACAAGGTCTGGCATTGTCTGTTTCTTCTTGTCTTTTCTATCAGGTGATCTCGAGTCAGTCTTTTCCCAGTAGACATATTTTCATATTCTCATATCGTATCTTTGTCAATAAGGAGAATTTTCCAGCCCTTAATGTTGAGGAGGGTTTTGAATCAATAATTACATCCAGAAAGCACAAATCAGAAACCCAGTATTCAGGCTACCCTGACAGTGGGGCAGTAACCCTTTCTGTCATGTCACTTAAATAGCCTGTGATGTGGTCTTCAAACTGAACAATAGCTGTTCTACAGATGGCAGTTTTCAGTCCCCAGCTTTCTGGTAATCAAAGTTGGAGAGCAGCTGCCTAAATTTTCTTTGTCAGGTAAAGAAAGCAAGTCATTTTCCTTGAGCAGTTGTTCATAAAGTTTAGGCATAAATAAATTTTGCATCTTAAGACTAAGTATTACACATGCTGGTCCTCACTGATTAGCGGCAGCAATTGTTGACTTGTCATAGGTAATTGTCCTCTGATGATGTTCATTTTCTTTTCTTTTCCATTTGGCTTTATACTATGGAAAAGATTCCATGCTTGTAAAATGGACATGTTTATTTTTTCTCTCATATTTAATAAAAGAACTAGCTGAAGCTTCTTATTGAAACAGTTCACACACACACACACACACACACACACACACACTCAAAAGGTCAGTTGTTCATTGTGTGATGGGAGGAATAAAAGGGGAATTACATTGCATAATCATTTGCCATTCCTGCTTTAGTCTTAAATACCCTGAATTCTTTATTGTTGGGTGTGCAGGTGACACCCTGGTACTTTACAGGTGGGGATTTATGTGTTCCTGGCGTTAACACATGGCTGTCATTCACGATTGCAGCTTTCACAATCTTTTGAAATAGATTTGATAGTCCATTTTAAACATGTGGCCTTGTATTGACCAATTTTTGTGCCAGTGCCATGAAAATGTCCACCACCTGTCATATGAAGGTTCAGAAAATAAGGATATAAAGGTTTTGCACTGCCTGTGATTGCATCCAGAATGGAAACATGCATGCAGAGACCCACAGTCCTGCCAGTGGTACTTCATAAGCACTTGAGAAGGGAGAGCAGTCATCAGACCCCTCCAGTTTAAAGCCAACTTCAAGTCCAGTGTGGGTAACCAGATAGAGAGACATCTTCCAGTAACCACTGGAATATAATTCCATCTCTGGAGAATAAAACTTCCCAGCTCCCTTCTGTCCTCAACAGTCATCTGTTGTTTATACACTTGTCCTATGAATGTCATAAGATATTCTAAACTTTTTTGATTTAGGAAAAGAGAGTGAGAAAATATTTACTGGCTATCTGCAAGATTCCAGGCATTGTGCTTATATAGGAAAAAGTTTAAAATATGCATGTATGGCATATGTATCTACGATAATGACATAAAAATAGGTTTCTTAGAGACAAAGAATGTTTTGTGGAATTAAGAGGGCACAAAGTTGTTATAGCTCATTGTATTGAGTAGTTGGGGTGGCTTCATGGAAAAATGGTACTTAAAGGTGGGTAGATTTTATACAGAAAGAGAGAAGGCATAGTATTTTCTAATCTAGTGAGTCAATCCTTTTGACTGCAGTAGGTTCTCTATGAGAAATTAGAGGGAAATGGGAAAGAAGGTGAGTCAGGCTAGATTGTGAACAGCTGATGCTATTCTTCATAAATTTATGGGGTTTTTCAAGGAAGACTGTCACCAGAAATATGGGCTACATGTCCTTACTGCCAATAGCTCTGAATCACGATGGGCTTATTTTCTTTTAGATAGGCTACCTAATCTTTCTGTGCCTTAGTCTTCTCATCTATAATGTGAGGATAGTAGTAATTTCTACCTTATTAGCTTAGGGACAAAGAAAATCATACATGTAGAATAATTAACACAGTGCCTGACTCATGTTTAGTGCTCAGTAAATGTTAGCTATTACCATCATTGTCATTGTCATCTTTGTAACCTCGCTGAAAGTGATGTTACTTTTACCAGTTTATCAGAATGTCCTAAATCCACCTGAATTTACAATGACAGTCTAGCACACAGAAAATGTTTTCCTTCCCATCCTACTCACCCTAGCCACCTGGAAAACACGGCTCTCCATTTTAGATATTTAATCATCTAATGTAAAGCAGTAACATTATCAAGCAAAGATCTACTTTGTGCTTACTATAAAGGGGAAAAATGAACACGTTAAGGTGGGCCAAATGTTATGTGTTAAGAAAACCTATGCTCCTGGCTCAAAACTGACCATTTACTGTTATCACAAAGAAAGGTTCAAATGTAAAATTGTAGGCACCAAATAAAGCTTCCCCAAAGATATCCTGCGTCTTCATTAGTTACTAATAACTGGTGGAGCCAAGAGCTCCTTCTTCAGTCTTTAAGGTTTATTGTCATAGAATAGGGAGGCACAGGGAAAGGGTCCGTCTCACCTACCTACATCCATCTTGCCTAACCTTAGGCTTGTTTGTTTTTTTAATAGGCATCCCCACTTTCTACATGTAGCCCCCATGGGCAAGCAGCCATACTAGGGGGATGCAACCAGCAAGCCTCCTTCTTAAATATAGGAGTTTATTTGAACGGGATAGAAACAAATCCAGTTTCCTGTGGTGACACAGAAAGCCTCATCCTCCACAATGGCTCTCAGCTGGTTGCATTAGGGGCCCTTCTGACTCTAAATGTCCTAAATTTTGTCAAAGCTGATCAAGCAATAGTACTAAAAAGAGGAGGAAATCAGACAAATGGAATTCTGCCATATTTGTCATTCTCCGGAAATTCCATTGGTGGTGTTTTGAACTTAGCTGTCCTGCAGCATGAGAGTTCTCAGAAAGATCTAGAAATTGAGAGCCCTCAATAGAAAGAAAGTGTTAGGGGGAACTGCAGAATTTCTGTGTGTGTGAATGTGCAGAGTTGATTTTCTCCAATATTCTCAGATTTTTGAAAATAGTCTTCCCACTCCACAAAGAGCCAAACACTTAGGAAAATGAAAGAGAGCCAAAGAATTGGTAATGAAATTTACATTTCACTTTAGTCCAGTGGTTCTTAAACCTGATTGCACATTGGTATCCCCTGGAGAGCTTTGAAAACTATTAATGTGCCCAGCCCCAGCACCCAGAACTTTTACCTGGCTAGTCTGAATGGAGCCCAGGCATAGGTAATCATGTAAAGCCAGCGTCTTGTCTCTTCTAGGCACAGTTGAGTACAGGTGAGGTCAGCCAAGAAGCCAAGAATTGTTTAGAGTAAGCTCTTCTTAAGCACTTGGATCCTTATCTCCCCAGCTAAGACTTGATGTGTGGAGTTTTACAAACAATATCTCTGAGCTGTCAGAAATGCTGAGGCTCACCCAACACTTCGGTTCTCCACACCTGCAGCTCCTCTACCTGATTCTGAGCCAACAGCAAATGCTCTTCTTTACTACTGGCTGCTGTGGGTGGTGTAGGAGCCTTTTCAGAGCTACAGAGCCTACCTGGAGCAGAGTGCCCCCACTCCACCAAGGGGTGTCCAAACCTGGAGCTGCCCCTTCTCTGCAATGGTGGCTTCCTGCACAGGAGAAGGGGTGGGTTCCTCCTCTCTAGACTGGAGAGCTTCTGATTAATGTCCCAGGGATCCAGCCTTGTCTCCATGGGCATCCATGTAGGACACAGGAAATTCACAAAGCTCCCTTCTGCTCATTAGAGCAGGCAGGAAACATGACAAATCTTATAAGAAGTACAGAAGCATAAAGACCCTTAGAGCTCTAGAGAGCTGTTCATTCATTCAACATGTGTGGAGCACTTATTACCTACCAGACAATTCTCTAGGCACTAGGGGTTCAATAAGACAGACGTCCCTGCCCTCGTGGAGCATATATTCTAACATGGGATGCAGACAGTGAACTAGTAAACAAGTATATACACATTGAAATTTCAGTTAGTGATGAGGGCTATGAAGAAAAATGAAGCAGTGTTGAGGTATAGAGCATTCATGGGGGAGGAAAGACCACTTTTGAATACATTGTCATTGGAAACATCTCTGGAGAAGTGACAGTTTATTAAATGTCATTGTTTCAATGTCATTCAGAGATCTAAAGAAAGTGAGAGCACCATGAACAGAGCTGGGAGAAAATCACTCCACATAGAGCAAATAGTAAGTAGAAAGAGAGGCCATCTTAGCCATCTTATCCATTGTGCTCCTACCTAGTCCCCAACCCCACCCTAGCACCATTTAACCTGTTTCAGTTGTTCATTCATTTAGGGACCCATTGAGACTGTCACTGTCTCATACTATAGTTTTGTTGTTTTTTTCCAGAAAATTATACTTAGTTCCCTCATGCTACATTTTAAGCCTAATGGCTCTCTTGGGGGAGGGGTAAATACAAATAGAAGTTTGTGTTCAGCACAGTAATTCTTCACATGCTGGAATCTTAGGGTTGCTGCAGAACAGCTCTTTTCTCTTCTGAAAGGCCACAGCCTTTTTTAGGTCACTCATAAGTCTTACTTTCTCTCTTCTGCTTTTGAGAATTTCCCAACATCCTCCCAATCCATGTGACCTGGGACAATCTCTTAACCTTTCTGGACACAAAATGATCATGCTGAGAAAAATCCTCTACTGCTTTGTGCATTTTATTTTTCTTTTTACACAATAGTATATGTGACTGACTCAGAGTCTATTTGTTTCATGCTATTGTGTGAATTATGAAAAAGACCAGCACGTCATGGCCACTGAGTACAATGAAATCCCTCTGTCACACAAACCACTGGAAATTTCATATTACTTGTTTTGTTTGGTGTGAGTGGTAGGAGGATAAGGATG